GTCGCCCCCCCCCAAAGGCACGCACCCAAGGACCCCCTCCTCCAACCAGCCCACTTCCTGTTTATTACACCATGAACATCAAGTGGATTAATCCATTGATGATAAACAGCCCTATGATCCAGTCCCCTCTCTAAGAGCCTCTTAATCTAATGTAGTTCACATAAGGCTTAACCTTTGCACTTCAGAGCGAGCTGGTTCTCCCACAATCCCCCCCTCATGGACCAGCCTCATGCAGCTCAGGGCAGAGCGTTGGGAAGAGCAGCACGTGACCATGGCCAGGTGGAAAGCCATGGAGCATTTTCTTTGGCATCTGGACCCCTCAGAAGCGGTCATCTGGAAGGCCCACCCTGCTGCTAGTCTGCCTCCCTCCATGCCGAGAGCCTTTTGGGCTTAGCAGTTGGTCTGTGCGGTTTCTGGGAGCTCAAGCAAGCAACCTTCAGCTGGTTGGCATCCTGGATGCTCAGGTTTTCTCTGCTGTCAACTTTGGAAATTATCAATTTTGTTTTGATAGAGCTGCATATTTATGTGCGGTTGTGAGAAAGAATGCAAAAGCATCCCGCATACTCTGTGTGGCTTCCCCAGTGCCAGTGTCTGGCTGACCCGGGGCGCAGTGTCACACTCAGGATATGCACTCGGATAGAGTGAAGCCCTGGGTGCTCCCAGTTTCCCCCACCGCCAGGATGCCCCTGCTGGCTGCCCTGTGACAGCACACCCACCTCCCTCCCATCCCTCCTCCTGGTACATCCAGCCAGCCACTGCTCCGCCCTCTATTTCTGTAATTGCAGCATTTCAGGACTCTTACGTAAGTGGTGTTACACAGCATGGAGTCTATGGGGTGGACTTTATCTCCGGGGATGCATTTGGGGTGCTGTGCGCACCCATAGTTCATTCCTTTTTGTCACTGAGTAACCTTCCACGGGAGGCTGTACCACAGTTTAACCAGTCACTCATTAAAAGACATCTGTTCCCACCCTTCATCAAATACCGCCAAATGGTATTCCAAATACCGCCATTGTAAACATTTGTGTAAAGGTTTCCAAGAGAACTGCCTCTGTTGCTCTGGGATATGTGCCCAGGAGTGTCATCGCTGGTCACATGCAGCTGCAGGTTTCTTTTCTTTCCTGTTTTTAAAAAGGAAGCTGCCAGACTGTTTCCCAGCGAGGCTGCACCATTGTTCTCATCGGCAGCATGAGAGTGGTCCATTTCTCCCCATCCTCGAGAGCATTTGGTGTTGTTACTATTTTTTATTTTAGCCACTCTGACAGGGGTGTGCTGAAATCTAATTGTGGTTTTAATTTGCATTTCCTAGTACCTAATGATGCCGAGCATCTTTCCATGTGCTTATTTGCCATCTGTGTGTGTTGTGCGCTGAGAACCTTTTTCCCATTTTCTAACTGGCTTGTTTTTTTTTGCTGTTGAGTTTGGAGTATTCTTTATACCCTACATACTGGGCCTGTGTCAGATAGATGATTTGCAGATAGCTTTTTCCTGGTTGCTTGTCTCTTCACAGAGAGAAAGTTTTTCATTTTGATGAGCCCAGTTTGTCCATTTTTAATTTTGGGATCCCTGCTTTTGAGGTCAAGCTCCAGAACTCTTTGCCTAGGCTCCGTCCCAAAGGCGGTCTGGCTTTTTCTAACAGTTGCATAGCTTTATCTTGCTAATGTTCATGCGAGGCTGAGCTGTAGTTTAAGGTCCCCACCCTGCGGTGTCCAGTTGTTCCATTGCCGTTTGCTAAAAAGGCTCTCCTTCCTTCCTGAATTGTGCTGCGGCGTCGCTGAACATGAGCTGGGCGTATCGCCCCGACCCTCTGAGCTCTCCGTCCTCCGTGCTGTCTGCATGTTTTCCCTGAGGTAGCCAGCCACCTTGCTATGGCAGCCAGGTGAGGTTTTCAGTGGGGGGTGCCATGCTTCCCGCTCTGTTTTGGTCCTCAGATGTGTCTTAGTTCTGCTGGTTCTCAGATGTGTCTAGTTCTTGCCTGTCCAAAATGTAGATTGATCTCATCTGTGTTTAGGAACACTCTGGCTGAAATTTTGATAGGCATTAGCTTAAACCTGTGTATCGCTTTGGGCAGAAGTCACACCTTGACTATGCTGAATTTTCTGAGCTGCTGACATAGCACAGGTGTGTGTCTCCTTTTATTTAGATTGTCTTGAGGTGTGTTCATGGGTATTTTATGGTTTTTGGCATATAAATCCTACACTATGTTTAGATCTCTACCTTCCTCCCTCTCTCTCTCCTTCTCTCCTCCTGTCGTTATTTTCCAGTTGTAATAGTTCTGACTTTTAATTTCAGTGTCCATGTGTTCCTTGCATGTATCTGATACATTCTAAGAACCCCAGTAGACTCCTGATGCTGCAGTAGTATCAAACGTGTGTACCTATGGTGCGGTTTACACATTAAGCACTGTAGGAGATTAACACCAAATAATAATAACATACATCACATACAGCGATGTTTTCTGCAGCTCATTGCTGCCGACGAGTGTCATCTGTTTGTGTCCGAACCTCGCACTGCCGCCTTCTGCTTCGAGCTCATGCAGCCCCCGTGGCCGTGGGCTGTGGTCTTTGCAGTTGGAGGTCTGGCAGCAAAACCAGCACCCATTTCTTTTTCTCTCTCCACAGTTTCCCAGGAAAAAGCTTTGCTGTTACCCTGGATCTTATCAACCTCAGCATCCACTTTTTTCTTTCTGTATTAAATTGAGTCACCTTTTTAAGTCACCTTTCCCCCATAGGAAGCCCTTCACAGCTGCTCCTTGGCAGCACAAATTGTGGGGACCGTGACTGTTTTGCTTTGTGGCCATTATTAAGTAGAATTAAGATGACTTAAACACACATGGTGAGATGATGCCACAACTGTTGGTTTGGTAATGGAGATGCTTCTGAGTCTCTAACGGGTGTGTGGGGTATACAGCGTGGATACAGTGGACAAAGGGGTGATTCAGGTTCCAGGGCGAGGGGAATGGGCCGCCTGAGAATTCATCCTGCTACTCAAAACAATGTGTAATGGGAAACTTAGGAACTGTTTATTTCTAGAATTGTGTATCTTTCGTCACATGGTTTTGCTGAATTATTTTTAACTTCTTCCTAGATTCCTTGTAATTTCCTTTGTAGATAATCCTGTCCTCTGAAAATGGGATGGGTTTTATTTTCTGCTTTCCAGTCTGTGTGGCTTTTATTTCAGTTTGCTGCTTTTTTCTTCTGGCTAAAACTGCTGGTCCTCTGTTGCATAAGAGTGGTGAGAACAGCTGTTCTTGCTTTGGAAGAAAAGGGCTTCCCATTTTATTCTGCTGTTCGGTGTGACATTCCTGGTAGGTTCTTTGTGCTGGCTGTTTGTCAAGTTGACAAAGGACTCTATGTTACTTTTTCTGGCAGTTTTGGTCCTGAAGGGACGGAGTTTGAAATTTGTGAAATGCTTTTTTGGTATCTTGGATATTATCATGTGAGTTTTTTTTTTTTTTTTTTTTTTTTTTTGTAGCCTGATAGTATGGTAAAGTATTACATTTATTAATTTTTAAAATAGCACTTTCCTTGCATACGTAGAATACCTTTGTCATATATATCTTTTTAAAATGTATTATTGAATTTCAGTTAATAGTGTTTTGCTAAGGTTTTATGCATTTATATTTTTAGGCATGTTAACTTTGTTTTATACATTTTATCTTTATTTTTTGTATTTAGTACCAGAATAATGTAGTTTTATGAAATTTTTTGGGAATATACATCTTTGTTTTTGGTACCGGAAATTGAACTCAGGACCTTGTGCTTGCCAGGCAGGCACTTGTGTCGCTGAGCTGCATCCTGGCCCTGAATACTTCTGTCTTTTGGAAGCAATCACAGAGTGTTGTTGCTCATTCATTTTTTAAACATTTGATAGAAATTTTCAGTGAAACCATCTATGCTAAATGTTTCTGTTAGGGGAGTTTTCAAATTAGAAATTCAATTTCCTTAATAGTTACAATGCTATTCAGATGAGCTATTCCATATTGATTAAATTGTGATGGCTTCTGTTTTTGAGGAAATTGGTCCATTTCATCCGAGTTGTCAATCCTAGATCCAGGAGTCAATCATGAAGTCCCTTTATTATCTTTTTGATGCCCGCTGGGTCCACCATGATATCCCTGTCGCACTCTCGATAATGGAAACCTGTGTTTTCTATTTCTTTCTCAGTCTTGCTGGAGGTGGTTGATTGTATTGCTCTTTTCCAATTACCCCCTGCCCCCATTTCAGTGCCATCAATTTCAGGTTTTACTTCACTGTCTTCTCTTCTCCTTGGTTTGGGTTTATTTTGCTCTTCTGTGTCTTCTTTATTATTGGTGATCCTGGGGATTGAACCCCGGACCTCCAAAGGGAGTTACATTCCCAGTCTTTTTAAGTTTTTTTCTGTATTCGGAAACAGGATCTTGCTCAGTAGCTGAGGACCTGAGCAGGTAATCCTCCTGCCTCAGTCTCACAGAGCCCCAGCATGACAGACGTGCACCGCTGTGCTGGGCTTGAAGCTTACTTAGTTAATTGACTTGAGATTTTCCTTCTTTTCTAATGCATGAATTTAGTGTTTTGATTTTCCCTCTTAGTGCTGGTTTAGCTGGGCCCCACAGATTTTGCTGTGTTGTATTTTTCATTTTAATTCAATTAAAAGGATTAATTTGGCTCTTCTTGAGGCTTCGTTTTTGATCCACGGGCTCTTGTGATATGTTGTTTCCAACTGTTTGGAAATTTTCCTGCTGTTTTTTATTATTTATCTCAGATTAAATTCCACTGTGGTCAGAGAATATACTTTGTAAAACATACATTTAAAAATATTTGTTGAAGTTTTTAATGTTTTTTTGGAACAAGACATAGCTTATGTTGGTTCTGCTCTTTGTGTATGATGTATTCTACGACTATAGAACCTGCTGGTTGATGGAATAGTTAGGGACTTTTATCTTTGCTGATTTCTTGGCTGGTTGTTCAATTATTTGTTGAGACAGATGTGTTAAGTCTCCAGCTGTAATTGTGGGTTGTCTGTCTTTTCAGTTCTATCAATTACACTTCAACACTTGCAGCTCTGCTGTTGGGGATGCGTGTTGAGTCTTGCTGTGTCTTCTTGGTGGATTGACATTTGGTCATTCTAGAATGTCCTTGTTGGTGTGTTAGGGCTAACGTGTACTTTCTGATTTATTGCCTGCTCTTTGTTTCTCCATGTTTTTCTCTCTCTCTTTCCTTTCCCTGCTTTTGTCTGGGTTACTTGAACATTGTAAAAATTTATCTATAGCATATTTTGGGGCAGCTTTTGAAGTGATCTCTTTTAATTTGAACACACGCACAAGCTCAATGCAGTCTCTTGTATCTTGCGTTTTACTGGCTAAAGTGAAATGTACCATTTACGCTCCCTGTTGAAAATAGGTAATTGTCTTTGGTATTTACATGTTTTCAGCTACGTTTGCCAGCACCTTACAATTTTTCTTCAACCTTCAAACAAATCTCAGAAGACTTGAGAGAGAAAAGTGTATTGCATTTATCACATTTTCCTTAGTGTAGTCTTTCCTGGTTTGTGACATTCCCCGGCACCCGCGGGCTCACTCCCTGCCTGTTTGGAGAACTTCCTTTAGCCTTTGTGCAGGGCAGGGCTTCTGGCAACGAATTCTCTTACAGCTTAGTCAAGCAGCAGTGCTTTGTCTTCCCACTGTCCTTGGATGGTACGTTCATCGGCTCCATGAGATGAGGCGGAAAGCTGTGATGACTGAGCTAAACATAGTGTGCAGTAAGACATACTGCCCCCTCTCCCCGGAATGCTCGCCCTGACTTTGAACACCCTCACCCCGTCATCCTGCCGCTCTCCGAAGCAGCTCTGGAGTCCTCTTTCCTAGGTAGGTGTCTTTGTGGTCTTGGGGCTGTCTCCATATTTTGCATTGAGTGAAGACATTTACCTTTCATGGTCGTTTCGGACTTTCGCAGAAAGCGAGAAGGTGCCATGTTAGATCCGTGAATAGGTGGGTCGAGCGGACCGAGGGATTTTTGTGAGTGTCCTTTCCATTGCCTGGCATGCGACAGCAGCCTTCACCGTGGTAAGACAGGAATGAGGACGTCCAGACCTGCTTCAGAAAGTGTCGAGGACACTGGGCAGGGTGTTGAGGTGAGGAGGAGCATTTCGGCAGTGTGTCTTGTATTGAAGTAAATTTGAAAATCGAAGCATTCATGGTGCACACTCATCACACCTAATAGGATTTGGATGGCAGGCTTTTTCCTGAAGGTACTTTCTCAGGGCCATGTCATGCCATGTCCTTGTGGTCTTCTGGGCTCTGATGAGGGATGTGCCACCTCTGGAATCATTTCTTCCTTTTACGTAGGCAGCTCTTCTCTCCGCGCTCCTGACTTTGTTTTTAGTGGCAGACTTTTGGCTGTAATGTGTCTTGGATGCATTTCTCTGGTTTTCCTATCACTCAGGTTTTTACGTTTTAACAAATTTGGGAAGTTTTCCACCATCATTTTTTCCAGTACTTTCTCAGCCTCGTCCTCTTCCCCCTCGCCTTCACGGTCTCTGATGTCATTAAAGTTTGATTGGTTTTTATGAGTCTGATGGTTCATGTAGAAAAAATTCAGTCTGATTTTGTTGCTCTGTGCTGAGTAATTTCTAGTATTGTGTCTTCCATTTCACTGACTTTTTCCTCGGTTCCCTTCATCCTCAGAGATGTATTTTCAGTTGTATTTTTCAGTCCTAAAATTTTCATTTGGTTCTCCTTTATGTCTTTTTCTTCTTGGGATTTTCTCCTTTTTCATGTGTTCCCACTTGCAGTTGCATCCCCGCATCTTTATGGGGCTGCTTAGGAAGCGCTGTCAGTGAGCTCCTAACACAGTTAAATCCTTCCTCTCGATGTGCAAATCCATTTTCTGTTTCTTTCTCTGATCCTTTTCAATTTTGTTTTTGTTAGTTCGTGTTGCATGCATAGCGATTGTGCTCATCGTGGGGAGTTGGTGCGTGTGCGAACACCTCTCAGTTCTCTCCATGCCCCTCTGCCTCTTCCCCCAGCGCTCCACCTCTTTGTCCTTTTTCATTTGCATAGAATCTGAGTTCCTGTTTCCTATTCTTTCTTTCTTTCTGTCTGTCTGTCTCTCTCCCTCCCTCCCTTTATCTCTGTCTCCAGCTCGAGTCCTTAGATCTGGCTTGCGTATTATTAGTGATTGTCCTTTGAGATCTGGTTATTTGGGTGTTATGTTTTGGGGTTCTGATCTTACATCTTCTGTCCCTTGGGCTCTTCGGGTCCTGTTCCAGGGAGCAGGTTGCCATCTCCTCACTGCCTACTAAGGAATGGGAGCCCAGGCCGTCCTGTGTTTGGGGTTCCTTGCTGCTACTGGGGTTCAGTGGGAGTTCTGGCTCTACACCCTTGTCCCTTCGTGGTTGTGAGGGGGTACAGCTGCATCAAGACAGCTTCCAGTGCAGCTGCATGGATTCCACACTGGTGCTGTATGCACATGTGTGTGTGCATGTGTCTATGGTTACTGTGTCCAGGCGGTGACGAAAGTTCTGACTGCACACAAGGCCTTTTCTGACCCTGCCCACTGGGGAACAAGGACCTGCTGTGTGTGTGGGGAGTCTGGGTTCTCCCAAGCCCATGGTTCCTGCCCCCTGCTGGGCTAGTGGAGAGCAGCCGCGGTCTTTTGTCCTGGGAGACTGCTGTTTCCTGGACCCAGGCTTTGGTTTCCTCTCTGCACTTAGTGTTTTTCTGGGTTGCTGAGTCTTCGGGTGCTGGACATCTGAGGCAGAAAGGCAAGCCAGGGACCCTGTGACCATGCATCCTTCAAGTTCAAGGTCTGTGCCCCCTCCACCATTTCTCCACTGCTTGGACTCTTTTTATGTCCATTTTATGGTTGGGGTTCTTAGCTTTTTTCATCTTTTGCTCTTTTTTATCAGTACATGTTTGCGACGTATCCTAATTACATTCATCGCAGAGAACAGCCACTCGTCCATGTCACAGCTCAGTCACCAGGGGACACAGTGAGAGGGACAGGGAAAATGCGTCTATTCCATTTCCCCGGCAAAGACATCTTCTTTGTGACCCGTCCTCCTGGTGCCCCAACACTGACCCTGGAGAAGGCGTCCCTGTCCCAGAGCTGGGTCCCCTCTCTCGGGCTGGGGGGACCTGTCTGCTGTCCCTGAGGCAGAGAGATGCAGAAGAGTTGACTGTCTTTTGCTCGCTTTTCCAACCTGTTTAATGATGAGATTCGTTCGCAGGCTGAACAGGCCGATGTGGATTCTAAGAGGTGCTTCGGGACTCGCGGGTGGAGGATGTTCATCCCATTCTGAACCAACGGCTGCCAACTCCCTGTCTCTTTCTCCCTCCCTTTTTATTTGCCTTTTATCCCATTGTTGTCTTTTAATTAAACAGTTCTTTCACTAGTGTTCTTTCATTGAGAATTATTAGTGATGCAAGACTTCCTTTATCAAACCGTGGGCCGTGTAATTGTATACAGTGTGCATTTGGCTCTGGGGAGGTGTAGGAATTGCAGGAGCGGAGGTGCTTTCTTAATTGGTCCAGCAAGATTGTGCCTTTAAGTGGAGACAAAGACACGGAAGCACTGGTAGCCGGAACAGTCCGCAGTTGTTGGGGAGGACAGAGGCGGCCAGTGTCGGGGCCAGCAGACAGGGCCGCTCTGCGCTGGCTATGGGACGTGCCCTGCATCAGCTGGTGAGGGGCAGGGCGGAGTCTGTGCTCAGCCCCAGCAGACCCCAGAAGACGGGGCGGCCTCTTCACCCTGGGGATCGGCAGTTGGGGTCTGGGCTGTGGGCAGGGGAGATGGGGGTGGACTGCGTCTCATCCTGCGAGGTTGCCAGGCTGTGTACGGGGATCCACGGGAGGGTGAGCCCTGAGCAGGTCAGCCAGGTGTGTTTGTGGAGCACCCAGGAAGTGGCTGGCGGAAGACACAAGAAAGCTGTTCTGGCCTCTGTCCAACCAGGAGGGTAGAGTCTGGAGTGGGGGGCGGGCAGGAAACTGCCAGCCAGACACACGCTGACTCTGTCCATGCTTGCATATACACACACACATACACATGCACACGGCTCTACATGTGTGTTCATGGCCATGTATGGTCAAGTTAACATAGCACCAATTTACAAATAGAGACATAGATCCTGACACAGCTTTCTCCTGATAGACAGACAGACAGATTGTATCTCCTGAAACAGAGATGATCGTGTACAGAAGCGGCCTGAACCAGCAATGTGCGTAGTTGTTGAGGTGTCAGCCTGTGCTGGTTCCGATCCCGACACCCTGCTCTATGGGGATGAGGCCAGATTTTAACCCCAACAGTGGCCAGTCTCAGCCCCGAACCTCCAGTGCGCCCCTACACCTAACACACATGCGCAGCAAAGCATGGGGAGCAGAATGGTGGTGGCTCACACACGCCTGGCTCAGGGCCCAGTGGAGACAGTGTCCTTCTCCTCCTCTTGGACCTGTGGGCTGCAGCCCTGCCCAGAGGCTGAGGCAGGGGCACCTGTGTGCATACTCACACATGCTTGTGCACACACTTGTGCACGTCTGCATGCACACCCCTGTGCGTGCACACACACACCTTGTTCACAGCTACCCGTGGGCTCTGCAGGTCCCTCCCATGTGGCCGAGTCCCAGCCCTGCCCCTGGCTGTGGAGTGTGGCCCCCGTCTCCCGGGGCTGCCTTTCCTTGCCTGCAGGGGTGGGGCAGTAATTCCTGTCTCAAACCAGTATCCTCCTCCCAGCATCAGGGTGGAGCCAGGGCTTGGCAGATGCCCTTCACTTGTTCTCCTGGGTTCTCCATGGAGCTGGGCTCCAGGTGACTGACAAGACCCCAGTCTTAAGAGCACGATACTGTGGGAAGGAGAAATGACCAGCATGGTTCTGTGCGAGGGAGGGGCGGAGACCTGACAGCGGCACCTGTGACCAGGGGGAGGCGGTGGCACTGGAGGTCAGGGACAGTCCTCTTGTGTGCAGACAATGCACGTGCAAAGGAATGAGCCACCTGGCAGGCAGGGGAGCCTAGATGTCACCCCTGGAGCTCTCTGTGGTGCAGGAAAGTAGCTTCAGGTCACTGCAGAGTCCATGCAGAGTCCATGGGAGCTGTGCTGGAGTTTGGGGTGTCCCCGGGTTAGGTGGCAAGGGGGCAACAGCACAGGTTATGTGTGCTGAGAGCAGCAGGTCACTGGTGGTATTGGTCGAGGTGACCTGATTCCTGAAGCCAGTGGTGGCCGATTTATCATTCTTCTTCCTTGGGATGAAGACAGCGACCTAACCTCTACTCCCTGTGATCTGGTGACAGCTTTCCTTTCCCGGATAGAGGCTGGACTTCGACTGTCCTGGAAGGAACAATCCGAGTGCCTTCTGTCCTCACCCTCCAGGGCTGTCTCCTCTTGGAAGAGGATTTAGGGGCATACTCTTGATGGGTGCAGCCCCATCAGAGCAAGGACGAGGTGCAGGGAGCAGCCGAGCGACAGGGCACGAGGTGGCACAGTACCTTGCTGGGCTGGCATGGTGCGGGGGATGACAGTGCCAGAAGCACTCCGGGACAAGCCCCCCCGTTGCTCCCACGATAGCCCCTGTGCCCTCTCTGAAGGCTGCACTGAGGAGAGAAGCTCTGGAAATGACTCAAGAAGATGCTGGTTCGGCTCCGGGTTCAGACGGTGGTTGGCCTCGGTGACGTCCTGGGCCCCTTACATTCACTGAGTGGCTTAACCTTCTCGAGCTCCCAGTGTGTGTCTGGTTTTGTGCCAGGTGTGGTGCCAAGGTGACAGTGTGGCACCCTGCACTCTCCAGACGCTCCTGGTCTAATGCAGGGAAAGGCCGTCTCATCCTCCAATGCGCCAGGAGTAGAGAGAGGGAGGATCCCAACACCAGGGCTGCTGGGCTGCATCTGCCCAGCCCCCGGGGCATGCTGGGAAGGCCCTGCCGAGGAGGAGGGGACGTGGGCCGGGTCAACAAGAGTCCCGGGGGCAGTGGGCGTCCTGTGGTCTGGCACCACTGCAGCCCTCGTAACCAGAAGTTCTTGTGCACTGTGTAGAGGTCCCTGGGTTCCATCTCACCAGCAGCAGGACACACACGGAGGGGACCAGGTCTTTGTGGATGACTTTCTTCTGATGCTCACTCTGGCAGTGAGGCCATCCTGGGACTGCTTCGAAGTGATGAGGAGGGGAAGGACGGGCAGGGTGTGGTCTCCCCACCTGGGCTGTGCCTGGGCACTTGAGATAGTAGAGAAAAACATAGCCAGGCCGAGGCTGGACTCTGGGGGCTCCTGTCCCCCCATATTTCCCTGTCACACATTCCTGCTTCTCACACCTCCGGAATGTAGTCTATATTTAGGTTTTGATGATTTATTTTGCATTGAAAAATTAATAGAAGCTGGGTGGAGTGATGCCTGCCTATAATCCCAGCACTCTATGAGGCTGAGGCAGGAGGATTGCCAGGCCAAGCCCAACCTGGAAGCATAGTGACTTAGCAAGACCTTGTCTCAAAATACAAAATAAAATAAAAAGGACAGCTCAGTGCAAAGGCCCTGGGTGCTATGTCTAAAAACAAAACAAAAAATTCATAGATTATTTTTGGAGCAGTTTTAGGCTTGCAGAAAAGTTGATCAAAAACACAGAGAGGTCCATATACCCCTTTAGTCTTCGTAGTTTCCCGTTATTAATACCTTGCACAGTGAGGTATTTAACGACTGAGGCCAGTACCCGTGTGTTGTTAGCCAAAGCCCTTACCCGTTCCATGGGTTGGATAAGTGTCGAATGGCGTGCCCATTATGAATGCATCACACAGGGTGACTTTGCTGCCCCACCTGCTCTGTGTGCTTTCCCTACACATCCCTTCCTTCCCTGGAGCTCCTAGAAAGCCCTGAGCTTTTTATTCTTGGTGTACTTTTGCCATTCTGGAAGGCCAAGTGTCAGTACTGTTGGTTTATAAACTTCTCAGGTTAGCTCTTTCCCTGGGCAGCAGCAGGGGCTTCATAATTCATTTCTTCATGACTCTGGATAATTCCCCCTGGTCTGGATGTCCCAGTCTGTCCAGCTGCCTCTCCAAGGACATCTTGGGCTGCTTCCAGGTTTTCATGATTGTGAAAACCAAGTTTCATGATCGTGATAAACAAATACCAGCTGGGGGGTCATGGTGCATCTCTGTAATTCTAGGGTTCTGGGAGGCTGAGGCGGGAGGGTTCCAAGTTTAAGCATAGCCTGGGCAGTTTTGTGACTTAGAAACCCTATGTAAAATTAAAATAAAAAATGAAATAAAGGGACAGGCTCAGTGCAAAGGCTCTGGGTGCCACAAACCAAGTACTTCGTTTTTTACTTCACTGAGTAAATAGGGACCAAGGGCAGAGCTGGTGTGTGCAGCCCTGGCCTCTGTCACTGGTGTCCTCAACCCTGTCCCTCATCCCGATGTGCAGCGGGGATAGCCTGTGCTCCTCCTAAGGCTGCCCTTTTTCTTGGATGCCGAGTCCAGCCTCTGTCCTGTATGCAGGGGTACACCGTTAATCCCCCTTTTCAGGTAGGCCCGATGCGCCAGCCCTGGAGTGGACTCCAATGCATTGTGTGCTCCTCAGCCGTGTCCCTCTCCAGCCCCTTGCTCTGCTCACCTCTCTGCAGAATTCTTCCAGGTGGTTCTCTGCATTCACCATTTCCATGCTGCCTCTCCCCAGGCCTTTGAGGAGCCCCTGCTGCCCGAATCTGTGTCCCCGAGCCTGGAGTCATGTTCTGCACACACTCATTGCTGGCTGGAGGTGCCAGGCGACCGGCACCAGCCAAAGGTGTCCTGGAGTCCGTGTCCAGGGAGCCTGTCTCCTGTCCCTGGGGTGGCACAATCCCAAGACCCGTGTCCCGTACCACGTCCCTGCAGGAGAAGCTCCTGTCATCTGTGCTAGGCTCCCTGTGACACCCATCCCTGGCTCCTGGGCTTCCTGGCCTGCCCCCTGTCGGTGGTCTCCATGCCTCACAGGTGAAAGCTCTGCCCAGAGTCCAGGTCACAGAGTTGGCTGGTCCTGAACCCAGATGACCCCCGGTCAGGAGAGGCCCATGATCCTTAGGGCACTGCTGCTGCTGGCTGGTCCCAAAGCCAGCGGTCCTTCCCTGGGCTTCATCTTACTCCATCGTTCTCCAGCGCTGGCCCTGTGGCTTGCTGTCCTACAGGTGGGCTTGGGAACCTGTCCCTGTGCAAGTCCTCATTCTCTACGAGCTGGTCCTTTCTGATCCCCTCGCCGGCTGATTCTCCTCTTCCTATCCTCAACATCTGCTGCCAGGGGGAGCGGCCAAGTCTCCAGGGAGAAAACGGCACAGGTTTCAGGGCCAGGGGCAGTGAGTTGCTCCCTGACCACTGGCCTAGTGAGGAGATGGCCCCGTCCCTCTGGAGCCGATGTGTCCTGGGTGCTTTGTACCTGTTTCGGG